CATCGTGGTACATTCCCACTTACTCGCTCGGTACTTTCAGGAGTCACATTTGTGTTCTCTGGGGTAAGGCAATGCATTAGTCACAGTTCTCTAGAGGGACAGAGCTAATGGAATAGATATATATATAGGGGAGTTTATTAAGTCTGATGTTTGAGGGCAGGAAGCATCCCGCATGGGAGGAAGAGGTAGGCTGGGAGGCTAGGCCAGTCACTCCTTTCTAGCTGTGCTTATATTCTGGTTGTGCTGGCAGCTGATTAGACGGTGCCCAGCCAGATTAAGGGTGGGTCTGCCTTTCCCCGCCCACTGACTCACATGTTAATTTCCTTTGGCAACACCTTCACAAACACGCCCAGAATTGTATCCTTCAATCACGTTGACACTCAGTATTAACTATTACAGGTGATATCTTCATTGGGTTCAAGGTAGCTGCAAATCATGATGAGTGTAAAAAGATATTATCCCCATAAATGTCGTTTTAGGTGGAAGAAAGTAAGCTCCATCTATAGGTGACCTTGTCTTCTGCCCCTAGTAACTTTGCAGGGCCTGTGCCAAGCACAGCCCTTTGGTTCCAGAATTGCTTTCAGGGAGGGAGCTTTGATGGTCTGAGGGTCGCCTGATCTTGAGCTGACCTGATCGCACTACTGACCTGCTTAGTCCCCCTTGACAGACTCTGGAAGGGAAGGGACTTCTGAGTATTCTCAATCCCGGCAAAGTCCAGGATCATGAGGCTGGGGTGATGGAATGAGGGTTGGGCCCCCAGGCCACAGACAGTGATAGTGATTGATTACACATCTTGACATGTACAAAAACACAGGCTATTCGTAGCTGCAGGGCGAAGGGGTGTGGGCGAAGCAGTGGAGGGGAGGGACTCTGAAACAGGCCTCTTAATGGCTCAAATCCTTCCGTTGCCCCAGCCCCAATCCCAAAGCAGTTTCTCTCACCTGTTAGTTCACTTAAGAAAGGGAAGGGCTCTCAAGGAAAGGAAGAGAGGGACTCCCAAGCCCCTTGGTCACTACAAAGAGGCCACTGCAGGGCCCAGCCACCTTCAAGTGCAGTCATTGTCTTTCCAGAGCAAGGCTGCTACATGTGCAACCGAAAAATAGGTGAAAAGGCAGGGGGTCCACTTGGAGGAAATGACCCTTCTGCCCAAGGATGGTAAAGAAGGGATGAGGCTTGGCAGAGGGGATGAAGGAAAGCCCAAAGGTGCAATGGTTTGGAAGGGTGCAGGGACAAGGTGGCAAGCCAGGCTGGAGGCTTCCCTCTTCCTCAGGAGCAGCTGCTCAGGAGCAACTGATGGGGACAAAGTCTTGGGGGGAACCCAGTGCGTCCAACCCCCAATGTCAGCATGAAGGACCAATGCCAGAAGCAGATCTGTGACAGTGAGGGCGACATTCTCCCTACTCCCTCCTTGGCACAATAAAGACTACCTTTCCCAGCCTCCCTTACGAATAGGTGTGGCCGTGGGGGGGTCACACCCTGGCCAATGACATGTGAGCAGATCTGTCACGTGGCCACTCCCCTGCCCTTCAATGGGAGGGAGAGGGGGAGGGAGAGGGGGGGGGGGAGGGGGGGGGGGGAGGCTACAGGGGGGCGGGGGGGGCGGGGGGGGGGGATGGGGGGGGGGGGGTGGTGTGGTCTTGGGA